GTGTACTGGGAGCCACGGTTGAAGATTGAAGGTAGTTGGACACTTAAATGCGAGTTCGCAAAAAAGTGAACGGAACTTTTTTTGACCCACTGTAGTTAGTGTATCTAGCACGGGAGTGCCAACATGGGTCCAGGTGAGGGGCAGACTGGCAGTCACGCTCACAACACACATCCATCCCGTAGAACGTTACACGGACCAGTGACGGTATTCCCTTCTTTGGTAAGTCGGCCTGTTTACTTCAGCAAACGAGAGGGTGTTAAGCCCATCCGACCACGTAGTGACTTACTCAGTTAGGCACTGGAAAAAAGCTCATCTAGCGGAACGCAAGGGGCCTTTTCTTGCTGAGGTTGGCTGGTAGGTAACAGCTCATCAGCCCCTCCTCGCAACGCCCCACCTGTGACTACCGTCAAAGCGTTTCGCGTCGCATTGCATCTCCGTGGCCGGCCGACCTTGCGAGTGTCATTTTTTCCCGCGTCTTTCCTTGTTTGCAATCTCAATTCGCATAGTCGCTGTCGATAGAAGACAGCACACGGACTCAGCGCACCATGGCCTCAATCATTCTAGGTGCCCAATGGGGTGAGTCCACTTCCAGCCATCGCATGAGAAATCCAACGACCTCCGGCTCTTTCGATGTTCGTGGATCGCAGTACCAGCCTCAGAGGGGCAAGCGATGCGATCACTGAGGCCGGGGTCTCAAGATAATCGTATTTGACATTAACTCTATTCGTGATGTGCAGGAGACGAAGGCGTACGTTTACGCTCATCCAAACTCTGACGGACTCCCTACAAGTTGATGAGGTTGTATTGACTGTTTACTGGAAATACAGAAGGGCAAGTTGACGGATCATCTCCTGGCCAAGAACTCGTTTGACATCTGCGCACGTGCAGCTGGCGGCCACAATGCTGGTCATTCAATTCAGTATGGGAAACATGCCATCGTTCACCAGGTCCAAGTCTCGACTGACAAGCGTGGCTATGCAGCATCGGCGCTCAGAAATTCTCTTTCCATCTTTTGCCATCCGGGTTGGTAAGCCCAGATACTGACAACATCATTGGATCGGGTGTTGTTTTCAATGTCGACGCCTTTTTCGGAGAACTAGCCGAGCTTGACGCCAAGAACGTGCCGAATGTGCACAAGCGAATCCATGTCAGTTCAAGGTGCCACTTGAACCTCGCCTTACACGCCGCTGTTGATGGCCTCTCTGAGCAGGCACTTGGCCAGAGCCAGATTGGAACCACCAGACGAGGTATCGGTCCGTCCTACAGCACGAAGGCCGCCCGGGATGGCCTGAGGGTGAACGACATTTATCGCAATGATTTTGTCACCAAATTGCGCACTCTAGCGGCGGGATATCGCGCGCGATATGGTGATCTCCTCCAGTACGATGTCGAAGAAGAGATCCGCAAATTCATGGGGATCAGAGATAGGTTAGAGCCGTACATTGTTGATGCTGTGGAATACATGAAGGCCGCACAGGAGAAAAAGCAGTCGATTCTCATCGAAGGCTCCCAGGCTTTAAGTGCGTCCAACCCAAAGCTAGCCACTTATAAGGACTGAGCTGACCAATTGCAGTGCTTGATCTGGATTACGGTAGCTACCCCTTTGTCACGTCGTCCAGCTGCTCGATAGGTGGTTGCATCCAGGGCCTGGCGCTCAGTCCCTTCAACATTAAGTAAGTGTGAGAGTGCTACGACAATTGGGCAGTGCTACCGACGTGTCTCCTACAAGCTCAGCGTCATGAGGCTTACTCTAATCTCTGCTTTATAGGGACATTATTGGTGTGGTCAAGTCATATGTAAGTTTGGAAAAGAACCCCTCCCCTCACCCCCGGTTTAACTAGGAGCTTTGCTGAAATGATATTATCTTATAGACGACACGTGTCGGTGGTGGCCCTTTCCCTACGGAACAACATGGTGAAGTTGGAACGAAACTGCAAGAAATTGGTGGAGAGATCGTATGCTTGAGCTAAATACCTCTCTTCTCGGTTCTACGGAAACTAACTAACTGTCCCCGCAGGGTGTGTCGACCGGTAGAAGGAGAAGATGTGGCTGGCTTGACCTTGTGGTTCTCAAGTACTCCGCTGCTGTGAACCGTGAGTGACTCATGTTCACTGGATACGTCTTGTCACGTAAAACTAATGAACGTCTCGACAGACTATACCACCATCAACCTGACGAAGCGTAAGGACCTTTCTTGGCTGCATTCCAAATTTCGGCGGATTTACTAACGAAGGACCTCTTTAGTTGATGTGCTAGACACTTTCCCGACCATTCGAGTTGCCGTGGCATACATCACACCCGATGGAAAACGGATCACGAGCTTCCCTGCTGACCTGGATTTCGTAAGTATCCGTTTCCATGTCTTGTCTCCATGTCTTTATACTCGCAAGGCTAACTCGTTCGCCAGCTTGAGAAATGCGCCCCTGAGTACATTGAATTTGAAGGCTGGCAGTGCTCCACCGAGGGATTACGGAATTGGTCTGATCTACCCCCTCGAGCTCAGAAGTACATCGAACTCATCGAGTCCGAGTTAGGCATCAAAGTGCGTTTCCAGTGGCGTGTCACCCTCGTCCATTCTTCAATGACTAATTTGCATAGGTGGGCTATATCGGAACCGGTAAAGACCGCGAGGACATGATCGTTCGTTAGAAACTAGCGACACCAACTCGGTTTGACCCAATCTTAGAGGCAGAAAAGGAGTTTAGAGGATAGAAGTGGCGGAGACCTAGTCGATGAGCTTTTGCTTGCTTGTTAGTATGTCCTATTCAAGTTGGAACGCTGGAAGGATGTCCGGTACACGCACGTAGTCAGTATTTCAAGTCTTGCCGACTCGGTTTGGACCAACTATTTGTCATCTTATTGGGTCGAGCTAGCTAAATAGTACAAGGAAATGCTCAGAGTCCCAATATTAATACAAAAAGCTACGGAGAAGTTGACGTTCTTGCTTCCCGACCCGGACTCCGGAGTTCTTTTACGTAGCATTTCTAGCCTGATTGGAGGTCTGCGCCTAGTTCAGAATGCTAATCGTCTCCCCCGCGTCCCCCTCTCCCCAGCCGGCGACTGGATGATGATGATGATGATGGGACGGTTAAGATGGCGTATTGAGCTGCGCAGTTATATGGACATGGATATATCAAAGACATGTCGTTTGATGCTCATTCACCGTGAAGCTCGGCCTTGGCATATCCTTATCTATACTCTATATTATAGACCTACCCTATAGAACGGAACGCTCCCGATGAGTGCCGGATGCTCTAGATAGAACGCCGCGCCATTGTGCTGCCAAAAATCCACCGGTGAAGATTGATTCGTCATTTTGCCCTGATTGTCTTGACGCATATCAGGAACTTTAAAAAAAAAAAAAAAAAAAAAACTAGTTTGAAATAGTGAATAAGAACAGAACGAATTGACAACGGTTCAAAATGAAAACCCCCCCAAAAAGTCTCTCGATCGGGGAATCGAACCCCGGCCACCTGCGAATTTGCTTCCTTCAAGAACTCCTCAGATTTTGCAATGTGAAGAAGAGGTGAATTGACAAGCAGGTATCCTAGCCACTAGACCAATCGAGATGGATTGATGCCGTTTTGGAACAGCTTATCATAAGCACTAGTCCAGATACGTAGACGAACAGAAGGACGAAGAGCTCGAAGTACTTCCCCGCTGAGAAATGTACTTACACCAACTTAGGTAATCTGTACAGTCCGTTATCTGTAATCTACCTCACCTAGACTAGGTAGTTATCTGACATGGAAGATTGCGGGTCTGTGCTTGAATAGTTCATCCGAGGATTAGATAAGCGATCTACTAAGTGTATGTTGGCTCGACGTGCCGTACCTATTCTAATACCTACCTACCGCCCGAGTACCCATTACCGCGTTCCCCTTCTGAACACTCAACCTTAGTCCAGTGCATTGAAAGGTCCGAACTTGATCGCTGTGGTAGTCGGGCGGAATTGCAGTTATCAAAGATGAGACCAAATCTCAACAACCATTGAGACGCACCCTTGAGCAGACATGACGGTTCCCTATTGTTGCCGGCGGCGTACGCGCAAAGAAGTCATGAACGTAGGTAGTATCGAAGGACCATTTAGATCAGACCACGGCGAAAGATTTACCTCTCCTTCGTTCACTATATCACTCAATCTTAACACCCTTGACACCGTGATCAACGGCTCCCCCTTTTTTGGTCCCATCTGCTAATGATATTACCGAGTTGGGTTTGGTATTTTGCACAGCTTCTGACCTTATCTAACTCAGCAACCCCGGGGAAGCGACCCTCGGGAAGAACACAGCAAGAAGACCCAAGATTGGGGGTGACCTCAGGAACTCCTGAGTCTCTGTCTTTTCCGGTCGCTACTTGAACATCGCAAAGACATCTCCCAATGCCTCACTTCATAGTCTTCTCATACCCATTCCAGAGATGCTCTTACCTCATGCAATCCATCTGCCTCATAACACCGCTTTCGCTTCCGGTGACTGATGAGCCCCTTGCCAAGAGAAGCAGGACTCCTTTACTACATTCCCTGCTACACTGGCTTTAAGTCTGATCAGGAAATTCACAAGCCAGAAGCACAGACGCAGCACCTTTAAGGAGCCATGAAAATCTCTTTTTCTAGTTTCTCGTTGAAGCCATACTCGTTCCACGTGGACAAGTTAGCCGTAGGTTCGGTGAACAGACGTGCTGTCCAGAACTTATTTTTTTGGGACGGCTTCACGAAGGTGTCGCGACACCTGTTAACGAAGATAGTATCACGATGCTGTCTCGAATGCTGAGAATGGGTCACCACGACGACCGGTTCATTGTGTTTTATCAACATATCTTTTGGAATATTATGAGGTAGGCGAGTTCACCCCTTCGATGTTCGATGCTCGATATTCGATGTTCCAGTAAAGAATGGGGAAAAGACAGATTGAACAATGGTGAACGAGTCAAATCAAGGTAGTATGATCATCACCAATGTGTGAAAAGAACCCTCCCCCCATATCAGTTACTGACTGCTCTGTATCAAAGAGGCAAAAGAGAGACTGTTCAATTCTCTGGTCCAAAGATTGTGACAAGACACCTGGAGCGTAAGTTTTCTTTGTCTTCGCACAATCAATACGCTTTATGCTAACCAAAGGTCTTTATAGGGAACAATGAAGGGATTCCATGGTCGTTGATGCAATGAGGCTGTTCTATAAATATCTGCTTAGTCTTGTCTTGTCTATAACAGCCGCCGCCAATCGAGTCACGGCCAAAGATCTCACGAGGGATTCTTAAGCCCATCAACCGCCTCACACGTTTGCGATGACTGATGACTCGACTACAATCCAATTCATTATATGTGGAATCACATACAAGGAATAAAACAAGCCCAAAACTGCTAACAAGCCATTTACCAGCTACGAATTTATTTATATAAGCCACTATGTGTCAAGGCTCTAAGATTCGAATGGCCTGTGGGCATGTTGAAGCATATGTCAGTCGCCCATGCCGGCTGGATTGTTCAACTCTTCAAGGTCCGACTCAAAAGCTGAACAGGCTGTGTCCGCGCTGCGAGGTGGCGAGCGCACAACAAGCCCGTCGGGATGAATTAAAGGCGCTGCTTCTGGCGGGCGAGCAGCCGGTAAGCGCCCAACTCAACACTCCCTCGTCGCACTCTTCCAGGACGCACGATAATGTCTGGGGAGCTCCCTGGCAGGCAAACACGAATGAGCCCGACGAAGAACTCTACTACCTGACCGATGATGGTACTCACGTTATTCAGAAAAAATACGTTACCATAAACGGCCACGAGGCAATGATAACCTGCCGCAGGGAGTTGCGCGAGATCGATGCAGCCCTTCTGTCCAAGCTTCGGGAAGTGCGCGACAAGAAGCTGGCGAAGGAGAGGGCAAGGGAGATGAGGAGGGCACTGAACGAAGATGACCTGAAGAAGATGCCCATCAGTCCCTTTTTAGAGGAACGTCTCCAGGAGGCTAGAGAAAGGTTCCGCAAGGAGACAGATGGGACATCCGCGTCTAGACCAATTCCCCCCCAGGGCACAATATACCGGCAACCAACGGTGAGCAACGAACCCCAAGAAGCTGCAGAGATGCTCCGCAAGCAGACAGTCGAGCCTCCTACTCCGCCCTCGACAGCGCTCCCTTCTCGGGCCGCAAGCTCCCGCCAACCGACGGCGAGCGACAAACCCCAAGAAGCGAGAGAGAGGCTGCGCAAGAGGGGCGACGAGGCTTACACGTTACCCTCGACGCCACCCCCCTCTCGGGACACAAGATACCGCCCAGTGATGTCGAGTGACCAGTACCCGGGGCCTATCTCCCCGAGATCGGGACGTCCGCCTTTACGGAGAATGAAGAGAGGTGCTCAGGTCGAAAGAATGGTCGATATCCCGGACGAGACTGAGAGTCTTGATCTCTGGCAGACACTCGCGGACGAGTACGACGAGCACGACGAGCACGACGACCGCAATTTGACGCCGCGTAGTGCCAAGAGCCCGATTGTAAAATGAAACTAGAGTATAATAGTTATTGTGCAGATAAATAAATAAAATAAAAAAACACTGACTAAAACAATTGTCCCTTACTTCCAATCCTGCCGTCCGTCCTCTCTCTTCTCAATTGTTTTCTAATTTTTTCCGTTTTCCCGTAGCAATTTTTGTGTTTTCTTTTTTTGAAAAAAAGAAGAAAAAAAAAACCTACCATGTCCAAAACTCCAAGTATAAATTCATTCACCGCCACCCAACCGCATGCGCTTAACCCATCGTCGCGTGACCGTCCTAAGACTTCTCCCCAACCGATAATCCCCCCGGAACCTCCGTCTGCCCCAGTCTCTTAGCAATTTCCTTCGAGCTCGGCGGTTTCTCGACCTTGCTACCGCCGCCGTCCGCCTTACCGTCATTGATGGCCTTCTTCGCCTTATTATATTCCTTGATGCGCGCGGTCGCCAGCCTGCCCGCTCTCCGCCGATCCGTCGGACACCGCAGCAGGGGTACCTGGATGATAGCCGCGAAGACTTCGAGGACCTTCTCCACGGACACGTTGTGTCGCTTTGCCACCTCGTCGAAGGGGAAAATCTCCTGGCACGTCTCGGCTACGTCGACGACCAGGTTCGGCGAGGGTTTGCGGTATGTGGGCTTAGCGACGGATGTGGCCGGCTTGCCGGGGCTCTGTGAGGTCGTCTTCGGGTCGGGCTTTGCGGTTTGGGTATTGCTTGGGTGGCTCGTCCTCCTCGGCGGCGAGTTCGCTTTCCCCGAGGCTGATGCTTCGGGATTGGGCTGTTTATCGGTCATCGGGGTGGTCTGTGGTTGAGCCGGCGCAGCTAGTTTTACTGGCGGTGGTGGCGCTGGTGGTGGTTGTTGGTGTTGGTGTTGCTGTGTATGAGGTGGTAAAGGCGTGAATGGGTTATTGTTAATTGGCATCATGACTTGCGCAAAGTTGGGCCCGAATTGGTGCAGGTTGCTCGGAGCCATGGCCAACATCTGCGGATGAATTTGTTGACTGTATGCCTGAGGGTAGGGCCCCTGCGGCATAAAGTGATGGGAGAGAGGCCCGTTCACAATGGGCATGCCCTGTGCTCGTGTAAGTTGGGCCTGATGCCTCAAACGAGAGCAAGATTGGCATGGCTGCTTCGGCGGATGGACTGAACCATTGTGATGATGGTGCTGTTGTTGGTGGTGGTGGTGGTTGTGGTTGTGGTTTCCCGTCGGTCTCGGGTTGCTTTCCGGACGAGGCATGTGCTGGGAAGCTTCAGGACGTGATAAAGCATGAGTAGGGGGGCGAGGCATCGTTGCGCCCTTCGAATAAGTCGTGGGGGCATGGTCAGAACAACATGGCGTAGGATGATTTCTTGAGCTAGTCTGTGGTTCTGCGACCTGACCTTGGCTAGAATCTTGTGCGTTCCTCGCCACGTTGGGTGTCGGTGTCGTCGCCTGCTTCCCGGCTTGATGAGATGTAGGGCTCGGACTTGGACGGACAATTGGCGGGTTCGAAGTCGGTGGAAGGCCTGGCACCGTAGGTTTAGGCTGATCAGTCGGGACGTTAAGTTTTGCTGCTGGGGGGACGGTCGACGGGAGCTGCTTCGGCGAGAGTTCTGGAGGACTCAAAGGTCGAGGCTTGCGAGAAGGCTGATTGAGAACGAACTTTTCCAGCACCGGCATGGATACGCCTCGCAGAGCATAGGTAAGCTCCATGGCGTGAAGGTCGGATGGCAAGCCAACCATGCCTGTACTTAGTCGTCTTTCCGCATCTCGCAAGTCACCGGGGACCATATCCATTTGTGCCACAGGAACATTATTGGGAACAACGCCAGCAGGGAATGGTATTATTGGCAGTTGAGGCATAGGGGGGTTTTCGGCTGGCCTCTCGCTCATTCGGAGCCTCTTCACAGGCTTCTCAGAAATGAACTGGATATCATCGTCACCATCGTCACCATCGTCATCATGGCCACCATGGCCACCATGGTCACCAGCCGGTCTTTTGGTTGGAGTGCTAGTATCAGCAGCATGTGGATGTTGACATTCATGATGCTGACCAGGTGCAGCAACTGGCACCATTTGGGCTGGGCCTTGAGGAGTGAAGTATGCTGGCAT